CTTGTGTTGAAGCTTCAGTGGAAAGTGTGTGGGAGTTCCTCTTACACGCCATGCTTGACTTTGCACAGAGTCACATCTGGCTGGTCTTTTTTCTGCTGGAGTCACTTGTTTGTCTTTTTTCCTGTGCATTCAGAAAAGCCCATAACGTCTTTGTGTTTCTCATGCGTCTGCTTCTCAGAGTGCTGAATCTAGAATCTTAAATCACATTATGTAACCTCAAAGCTTGCATAATCATGTGCATTTCCTGCTGAGTTCCAAATCAAAATTCGTAGCTTCCTTTTTTCTAAGAAGACCTGGATTATCTGTTTATTTTCCCCCATTTAGGAAACCCAAATCTGCTTTATTTTTTTCCAAGCAAAGCAAGAAAACTGGGTTAGTCATTGAAACACAACTTAGAGTTTGTGCATCACTGCATTAATAACAGTAATATTCTACATTTTATCATCCATACTTGTATAAAAGCAGGGATCCGTGACGATCCTGTTTCATTTTATCAGGTAGATCCATCACAAGACGTTATAACATGTCAGCTGACACAACTTGAGCGCACTCAGTCTGATTCTGCTATCAGGATCGGGTTTCTGTTCTTGTCACATCAGTTCCTGTCTGCTGCTGGCTCAGGGCGTCCTTGACCTTCTGAGGTGTGAAGAAATTACAGATGATGTCTCGGCATGAGTTCAGAGACTCTGTTGTCTCACAAACAAGAACAATCTAAAAGGTAAAATGGAGTAGCTGTGAAGAATGGGAACTCGAGATCATAAGTATATTACCGCAGTGGGTGATGACGTTTTTGCCTGGGTGTTCGCAAAATATTTTATCTCAGAGATCCAAAGCTAATTAGCTTTTGGGGTTAACCTAATTAAAGATGGCCGCCATAACTAATCAGCATTAGCAAACACAAAAATCACTAGAAATCAGTCAATTTCACTGATATTAGACTAAAACTGTTTGTGTTGGTAGATGAACGTTAGGGTTAGGCTTCAACAATCAAGATGTTTTCACTAAGTAGAGTAGTTTAATTGTTTTTGTGTATGTTAAAGCGTAATTTCCTTAAAGAGAGGAGATGATTTAGAAATGTAAACTGCAAAAGCTCTCCCCTTCTGGAAGGAGCTGAAAGCCGTACACAAACACAAATAGCCTTGTAGTGCTAATGGAGGGCTGCTGTGGCTGCATGTTTTTGATATGTTCCTGCTCAAACACACCTGATTCTAACTGCTGGATTATCTCCTCAGTCTTCATTGGGTTCTGCAGGAGCTCCTGATCACCCTTTTTAATCATATTTGCAGCGTTTAAGAAGGGAAACGTCTAAAACCAGCAGGAATTCGGCACCCTTGATGCTAGCATACCACTGCTAATGCTACAACAAGTTCAGTGTAGCGTAAGGTTGAGCTCTACGCTAATCACTTAGCTCCAATACATGGAAGATTAGTCCCTTTTTGTTCCTTTCCCTCCTCTTCCACAATTAGCTTGAAGTTTACAGACTGGCATTAATTCAGCGCAGGTCAAGTTAGCATTCAAGCTATGTTGGTGTGCAACGCTGACTGCGTCAGTAGCTGTTTTTACAGGACAGGCGTTTACAAAACGGGATTTGCTGCGGCTCCCTGGGGTGGATAAAGGTCTTTTATAAGATCAGACCGTGGCGGTAATGTGGCGCAATCATGGCAATTTTATAAAAGATTAGGTGATGGCGGCATAAAGGGCGAATGGGGGCGGTCTGCGCTGCCACAGACTTCAGTTTATCTTGGACATAACTTGCTTTTTATTGCGATTGAAGCCGTGATCGTTAAGTTTTTTTTAACAAGCAGCTCCTAAAGGTGTCTGTCCCCATCAGTCCCTGTGCAGTCTCTGGTGATCTGAGCTTCAGCTCTAACAGAGAGGCTTGTGGAGCGCTGCGGCGCTCCAGTTTGCCATCTCAGCTGATTTTGTTCAAAAAGCAAACCTTATTGCCTGTGTTTACTTTAATTTTCAATAAACTTGCCAGCCAGAGCTCAGCGATAACTCCCCGCGTCATCATGACATCTGCCTCTGTTGCGCCAGGGCGCATACGACAGACCATTGCCGCAATATTACTACCAAGCGAGGCGGAACCAATGCCACAAAATTCGTGCAACGCCATGCCGGCATGGCGCGTTTATAGACATACCATTGCGGTAATATAACGCCGATTTGCCGGCATGGTGTGTCTTGTAAAAGAGGCTAGTGCGTCCCCCCGCAGTGCATGCTGGGAATTGGTGAAACACAACTCCATTGGGCAATGCTGTAGGCTTACAAAACTGGTTTGTTTTGCTGTAGAGGCCAGGGGAGACACTTAGGGGAAATATAAATTATGAAAGATGACCGACTTTACATGATAAACAGGGTTTTTAAGTTACTTTAGAATTTTTGAACTATGTACCGCAGTTTTAATTTATTTGGTTTTGGAGAGTTGGAAAAGATTTTCCACATCATTTCTGATTTAGCTTCTCAAGATAAAGCTCAAGTTTGAAAATGTTCAGCTCTTTTGTAGCAAAAAGCGACAACAATAAGCCATAATTTGGTGTTGTAAAAACTGTCTAAGTGCATTATCATCTTATTATTTAAGTACCGAGGGAGGGAGTCGGGCTTCTGTGCTGCCTTTTGGCTCAGTTTTCACAGGCTTGTGGCCAGTTAGCGGGAAGCTGTCCAGGTTTCAACCAGATTAGTGTAGGCTGTATGGAAAAAACAATGGTGGGTGGAAAATAGGGGGAAGCAGTTTGACCCAGGAGAGGGGGGTGTGAGACACGTTGACTGTTGTTTTCATGTGTTCATTCAGCTGGCTGAAATCTTGAAATAATACAAAAAATGTAAAATACGACAGGCGGATTGGTTCGGCGTCTGCAGTGATGCGGACGCTGAGCCGATCTGTTGTGGGGAAGAGGGAGCTGAGCCAGAAAGCCAGGCTCTCGATTTACCGGTCGATCTACGTCCCAATCCTCACCTATGGTCATGAGCTTTGGGTAATGACCGAAAGAACGAGATCGCGGATACAAGCGGCCGAAATGAGTTTCCTCCGTAGGGTGGCCGGGCTCAGCCTTAGAGATAGGGTGAGGAGCTCGGACATTCGGGAGGGACTCGGAGTAGAACCGCTGCTCCTCCGGATCGAAAGGAGCCAGTTGAGGTGGTTTGGGCATCTGGTCAGGATGCCTCCTGGACGCCTCCCCGGGGAGGTGTTTCGGGCATGTCCTGCCGGCAGAAGGCCCCCGGGTCGACCCAGGACACGTTGGAGAGGTTACATCTCCAATCTGGTCCGGGAACGCCTTGGGGTCCTGCCGGAGGAGCTGGTGGACAAGGCCGGGGAGAGGACGGCCTGGAGCTCCCTAATTGGGATGCTGCCCCCGCGACCCGGACCCGGATAAGCGGAGGAAGACGAAGACGAAGATGAAGTAAAATACGAGATCCTTGTGGAACCCAAATCTCCATTATATCGGACAGCTGGAGTGCTGAAGGTTTTGTTCAGAGGACAAATATTTCCTCAAGCTGAAAGAAAGTCCTTAGATTAAGAGTTACTGTATCTGAATACTTGAGGAGTAAAAGTGTTGAACAGAAGGTTAATATCTTTGACACGTTGGGTGCATTTTATTAAAAGCATCTTCCAACCTGTCGATAAGAACAGTTAGCTCACAATTCTTACTACCATCTGCCACCTGTCACCATTGACTCCCTGGTCGTGCGGGGCTTGTGTTCCTCAGGGCGGACATCTCGTACCCACTTAACCTTATGACCGCGGCGGCCAGAGATGGTTAAGCGACAGTCTGTAAAATGAGCGAGCACAGCCCGGCAGGATTAATCAGGCCTAACGACACATCTGTAGGTAGGCTCACTGGGAAGAGTGAGCATCAATCACTGTCCGGAGATTCTCCTCTCTCTCTCTGCTTCTCGTCAGCTCTATCGACCAGCGCTTTGGGCCTTTGGTAATTAAAAGGCATTGATCGCACTCAGCCGCAAGATTGTTGGGGATGCAAGCATGCAGCACCGGGGCTCTTCAAGTGAACAGGTGTGCGCGCACACGGCTGGGTGCTTCCACCCACATCATGTATGTAGTATCACACAAATGAGTGTAAATGCATGCAAAAGGCTTTAGAGCATGAAATATATTCCTCGCGGCTGTTTTTTTTTCTCCCTCATTTGTAAACTGCAGTGGTTACATCCTCTTAGCTTGCATATTTCCCCTAAAGTCATACAGCTGCGAGAGGCTGAATTGGTAAAAATCTGGTGCCCGAGAGGAGACTTTAGGTCAGCGCTCTTATTAAGTAAGGATCGATGGAGGAGAAAAACAAGGGTTGTGTTCATACATGCGGACCCGCGGGCTCATCTTCCCTTACGGACACACGCGCTGCCTCCTCAGACTCGCTCTTCTTTTATTCCGTCTGAGTGAACACAGTAAATCTAAGTGCTGCCAGATTGCTGGCGCTGCACATTTTTCCACCGTCGAGTTAGCTCATCAAGCGGGGAGCCTCGCCTGGGCTGAATAAGGACCGGCACACTACTATAAATACGCCGATGACTCTTTACTCATCCTGGCACACTGACTGAGTGACACAGTGAAGGCCACAGTCCCCCTCTAATGGACGTACAGCTGAATGAAGACGTGACTAATTTGTTTATTCCTTTAGGAAATATTTTCCTCTTGTGGCGTGATTTAGTGCAGTGACCTTTCATCTGAGGCCTGTGACTGAGTTACACTCGTCTGAGTGCCCATCTCCCTCTGCCACCGTCCCTCATAAATCCGATGAATTACCCAGGATGCCACTCTTTCATCCATTAACCCTCCCTTTCCTCTTCCTTCCTTTCCCAGCACCCCCCTTCCCTGCATCCTCCATCTTCCTTCCTGAACGAGTGATCAATTAAGGCCCTGTCCGGCTCCCACGGCACATCAGCACTTTCTCTCCTCCTCTTATCCATTTCGCTGTCATTTTTCTCTTTTTGGGGGGGGGGGGGGGGGGGGGTCGGGTCAGCCATGAGGTAGAAAGGAGAGAAAAGAGGTAGAAAAAAAAGAAAAGAATCCTTTATTCTCTCAGTGAGAGGTGCTCTGTACAGATGTGGGTGTCAGCATGTGCTCAAAGGAGAAGAACCTTTTACAAACCCTCTGGCAGGAAGTTTACCTTCTACCTGCTTGTACTGTCGACTTGAAAGAGGAAAAGACAGAAAGACAGCGGATTGAGAGGCACAAAGAAGGACTTTTCACTCTAAGAAGCAGCTCCCACTCATAAAACACAGGAATCTGTCACTACTCATCAGGAATGTACATTTTTATCCCTTTAAATTAAAAAATCGTAATGGTTTTTAAAAGAAAAACGGCATTGCACATTTTCCTGCTCATCATCAAATCCCACAAAAACCAAAGAGAAATCTATCAATCAAATAAAAGAATTAGTAACAGCCCGTGCAGCCAAAGCCTGACATTTATTTTCCTTCTGCTGTCATAAAATGATTAGAAACAGATTAATAAGCCACACATTGCACTGGTCATGTTTTCCCATTAAGATGAAGGCCTAATTTTATTGACGGTCAGTCCCATATCCATCATCCTGCCGCTGTAAAAAAAAAAAACTCTCCAGAACATCGAACATGTATTTATCTGCAGCTGAACATAGTAAAGGGTTCGCTAAAAGAGCCCAGCTGTTTTAGTGCCTGATTTATTTAAAGAAATGAAATTCTGCGCCTTTGATGGGATTTGTTGACATCAATAAAAAATCAATTCTCTAGTTTAAAGGGTCCTGCTGTTTCTTTACAGACGTTGTGTCTCCGCTTGTGGTTTGAAGCTAATTCAATAACTTGTAACAAGATTTGGGGTTCGGTCTCAGTAAAATACAAGCATTAAGACCATTACCTAAACGTAAAGGTGCATTAGGAGATGTGTTTCTGGAGCATTCTTTACCAAATTGCTTGAAATGCTCGTCACATATTGATGGCAACCAATAAGTTAAGTGTTTTGTCAAAAAAAAAAAGATGAATTTAAATCGCCTCTGAAAAGTACAATCCTGAAAATCCTCATCCAGGCATGTCCCGTTCGTAACCCTTCCACCAAACTGGCCCCAGAGAGCAAGGGGGAGTTTCTGTTTTGACCGGTTGTTCGAGAGGCTTTCCCAGATTGTTGGTGGCACTGAGCTGCTGTGATTTTAACAATGGTAACAAACCCAGAAAACTAAAAACTGCTTCAGTTTTCACCATAAAAACACCACTTTATTTTAGCTAGCATGCTAAGTTGTTGTACGGTAGGTGCGTTAAGTTGGGAATCATGGTAGAAAGACTCCCAACAAGAACGAGCATGTGCGTTCCTGTTTTATGAAGGTGCTTCTTGTGTCCGGCCTGTTCCCAGTGACAGTTGGACTCCTCCAAACGCTTGAGTTTGGTGGTGGGAGGTTCTCGTCTCAACTGATTGCAGATGATGTGATCCTCTTGGTTTTGCCAAATTGCAACCTCTCGCTGGAGACGTTGGCTAGGAGAGAGCTAAGCCAGAACAAGAGGCTAAAGTTAAAGTCCCATTAGTATCACAGGTGTGTGTGCGAAGTTTGTTCTCCGCATTTGACCCATCCCCTGGGGGAGCGGTGAGCTGCAGACACAGCCGCGCTCGGGAACTATTTGGTGGTTTAACCCCCCAATCCAACCCCTTAATGCTGAGTGTCAAGCAGGGAGGCATTGGGTCCCATTTTTTTCTAAGTCTTTGATATGACCCGACCAGGAATTGAACCCTGATCTCCCAGTCTCAGGGCGGACACTCTACCACTAGGCCACTGAGCTGGTCAATCTATCTTCCGGTCTTCACCAAAGATAGTGAGTTTTGGGTAATAAAACAAGATCACAAATACAAGCAGGATGTCTGGTGATCAGGTGAGGAGCGCAGACATCCAGGAGGGACTTGGAGTAGAGCTGATGCTCCTCTACATTGAAAGTGATCAGGACGTTCCCCGGATGTCTCCCTGGGAAGATGTTTCAGGCATATCCTACCAATCTGTGACCCTGGGCTGACCCAGGATAAGCTTAGGATCCATCGGAGAGGACAGTCTGGGTGTTGTTTGTAGGGATGCTGTCCCCATGGTACAAATCATAGGCTAAGCAGTGGAATATGACAACATTATAGCTTAGGAACATGGTGATAAATTATACATGAACACTAAAACCATTATTAGGATGAAGAAGAATTGCTATGGCAACTTAAAACCCCATTCATCCATTTTCTGTCACTTATCGTAAGTCTGTTCACAGAAGTAACAGATCCATGAGAAAACCCAACCATCCCTCCTCCTAGCTCTTCCTGGGTGATCCCAAGGCAGGCCTAAGAGGATCTCTTCTCAATGGGACCAGCCTGGAAAGTCTTAAGGGTAGAGGCGATCAGGAGACGCTCTTATGAGTCAGGATGAGGAGGAGCCTCCGTAAAAACCCAGCTATCTGTCTGGCATTTAAAAGCAATCATACATTCTGCTGTCTACTTTTGTTTAGTATTCACACCGAGGTGCGGGAATTCCTGCTGCTAATCCCATTTTTTTTATTCACCTCGTTCTTACTGCCCCATTAACTCCCCAAACAACAAAGTGTTTTGGGATCTTTAAATTCCAACAGATTGGATCGTAGTTCTTCTTTCGGAAATGTTACCGTTCCATTCCACTGTGGGAATTGTTAAAATCATCATTTAGTGCACAGATTTCACCATCTGTATCTGCATCCTGCCACCAACCGTTGTGTGTGTGTGTGTGTGTGTGCGTGTGTGTGTTAAGCTAATTTAGCATCCAAACTGCCAGCAGAGACACGAGTCGTTTTAGTTCAATAAAATCCAAACAAGTCAAAGAAATAATTATCTTAAGTATAAATCTAAACTCTGATCAGCCTGAGTCTGTTTAACATTTTTTAAATCAAATTTTACTCCTCCTTCATCAGCTCGCTCATCACGCTGTAAACTAGCTGAGGGGTTTGAGGGAAATTTATTGGGAGGCTGCTTCTTAAATGACCCCCCCCCCCCCCTTCCTCCTGCTGCCTCTCGTGTCCTTTTAAAGTCCTGACCTCCCGTCCGAGTTATTAAACCTTTAATGTGAAATCCAGTGAGTTTCGTTGATCCATTATGACCTGCCAGATTCAGTTAGGCAGCTGGCCCCATGAATCCTCTCCACATCAGTGCAGCAACAAGCCCCAGCCATGCTGATGACCGGTTAATTCGGTTTCCGGGTCGGGACGAGCCGCTGCACACCGAGCAAGCTGCCGCCGAGCTTCTGATCTCTTCTGATTGGCGATCGTCTCGTAGAGATAAGGCCCTGGAAATTCAAAGTGGCTCACAAGTAGAGAAGGGGATTCATCTTCCAAAAGCTTAATGGTCTTAAAGATTATCCTAAGGTCTTTTCATTTTGACGGTCATTAGATGAACGTGATTAAATAACAGATGAGATCCGTTCCAGCTCCCGTGCGAGGCGGCGCGCTCGATCTTCGGTCAACTTTTTGTGCATCCGAGCATCGAGCTGCTTCTTGACTCTAAATCTGCCAGAATCACTGGGGGAACGGTGTCGGTCCTTTAAGGCAGCTCTTACAGTAGTTTTGTGTCCTTGTAAAAGCCTCTCTCCACCTTCTCGTCCTCACATCACTATAAATGATGCAGTATTTCCCCCACATGTGGGAGTAAAGAGCTGTCTTCCCTCTTTAAGACAATAAAACGGCCACAAATCTGTCAGTTTTATCTGTCTGTCTATCTGTCGGCCCTGATTCAAAATGCTTCTTACCTCAGGCTGAGCGGGACTAAATCCTCTATTTCTGACTCCTCTTTTTCTTTTTTAAAAAGAAAAAAAAATACTGAATTGGCCACAAAAATCCATTTCTTCTAGTCAAGGATCTGATAAAGCACCCCGGGGTCTCTAATTTCATTTAAACTTCACTCTGTATTTCCTCAATCATCTGGTTTCTTCTATTTTAGGTTACAAAACAGAATGTATTGCAAAGAAAACCATTTGTTTTTTAATGCTTTCCCGGATCCTTGAACTCACAGAGCGTACAGTTTGCTAGAAATTGTGTTTCCTTGGATCGTGGCCCATTTCACTCTACGTTTTATTTATTATTTGCTTCAACTGTTCCTTCCAGTTTCTCTTCTTGTTTCTGTTGCTTTCAAACAAAATCCTTGGAAACCGCTTCCACAAAGTTGGGCGCAGACATGAGGATTGAGATGGTGCAAATGATGTTAAAAACACTAAAGGCCACCAGACACAGGCGGTCGATCACAGCTCCCGCAAATTTCCACTGGTCGGCCACGCTCTCGGCCTCATCCTGCTCCCGGAAGCGGTCTGCCATGTAACGAACCTCCTCCAGGATGGCCTGCAGCTGCGGGTCTCCCATCCCTGAAGTCGAGCACCCTCCAAGTCCTCCCGGTCCACCACCAAAGCCCCCACCACTTGAGACAGTGCTGGGACACCCCATGGTATCCGGAGGGGGTGGGGAGCTGCAGAACTGAGAGGGCAAGTGGGGAGGTGGACTTCCTGCCACTCGTGGAGGTCCTGTGATGTTATTCCTCTGGACCGGTTCCGAGAGAACCGACGAGTCCTCGATGCTCTGGAAGCCCATGTAAAGAAGGTTCCCATTGTTGTTGGCACTGGACTGAGTGTGCAGGTGGGGGTGCCCCGCGTGAAGGGGTCCAGTCTGGAGAGGAGTCAGGTTCTGTGGGTGCAGCGGGTGGAGGGTGGGGTCCGGAGGGTTGGGGATGCTTCCACTTTGCGATCCCGAGGAACAGCGTCGCAGGTTGGGAGCGCAGGGAGGACGCTCGGGGTCATCGTTCTCTCCCGGGCGTTTCATCCGCAGGAACCAGGCGACCCACTGCAGCAAAACGAGCTGCACCTAGAGGGGGGGTGGGGGCATTCAGAGAGGCAAATTAAAGACACTCGTTATTTCAATATGCTGTGTTAGCAAGCTCCTGTTTCAGGAAGTTAGCTGGAGGAGTAGCGGACAGAAAACGGGGTTTTACTAATTATTATTCACAATATTCTAACGTCTGCCCGCTGATAAGCTAACAGTAACTCAACTCATCCACTGACTCGTTTGCCCTGCAAGGTTGATGTTTTATCTCCGCAAATAACAAAAGCCTGAAGGAGTTCTGCCATGTTGTGGAGTTGCTAATGCTAACGGTTAGCTGATAATAGCCAAGATGCTCGGGGCGGGGCTAATTTTCAGTGATGTAAATCTGTCTGGTTTTTTCTAATCCAAGCGTTTTCCCATCTATTTTCTGTGTGTGTGTGTGTGTGTGTGTGTGTGGGTGTGTGGGTGTGTGGGTGTGTGGGTGGGTGGGTGTGTGTGTGTGTGTGTGTGTGTGTGTGTGTGTGTGTGTGGGTGTGTGTGTGTGTGTGGGTGGGTGGGTGGGTGTGTGTGTGGGTGTGTGTGTGTGTGGGTGTGGGGGTTAACCTGACCTTGAAAGAAGAAAAAAAATATTGCAATCATGATCCACTCAGAGCTTCAGTTCAACCGGACTTCCTGTGTAATTTGTTGTGGTTTGGATCTGATTCTGTCTCCTACCCTGTGGTTTGTTAAACACATCTTCTGCGTTTGTCTGCGCATTAAAATCCTGACAAGCGATGCCTGAGAAAAGCTCCTGAGGCACAGGAGAGGTTTTGTGAGGCTCCCTGCTGCAAGGACACCCAAAACTCGGCCTTGAATTTAAACCGTTAGCTTACTGAGATCGACTAATGTTTTGTCACCGTTATGAGCCTGTGTTTCCAGATACAACACAGAATAACGAAACCATAGACTGGTTCAGATTTAAGAGTTCTGCTCCACAGAAACACACACACACACACACACTCCTGTATAAAACACCAACGTGTTCTTTGAAAGGGCAAACAGGCCCAACATCATCCAGATGGGTGTCTGGCTTCTAATGAGGGCTAATGTCCAGATGACTGCTCAATTAGTATCTGCAGACTTTACAAGTTGGGTAGCGGCTCCTGTAGCTGCGACTACTGATGCAGTTTTTGTGCAAACTCTAATTATGAACTGCACTCGTCCAATGCCCAAATCTGAACCTCATCAATTAGCTGGTTAATTGGCCATCAGACTGTTTGAGCGGGCCATTCATCAACAGAACGTCCTTGTGCAACGTGTCAATAAAGCATTTGCATGCTCACGCAGCTGACCTACACATTTGATGCTTGCATCAATTACACAAGTGAGGAACAGGGTTTTAAGAAAAGTTGTCATTTCAAATCATTTTTCCACAATTACAATGTTTCTTTTTAAAAACAAATTTTTTTTGCATAAAGACGCCGCATTTTTCCCCACGGCGATAAACAGAAGGGAACTAGAAATAACGAGTAAGTGGAAACGAATCCGCCCACGTAGATCCAGATAGCTCTGAAATGCACTCCTGCTGAAGTCTGCGGCGAGGCGTTTGACAAAAACACTCAAGCAGACTGACACTGCTGTGTGAGTCACAGCCTAGGAAGTCGGAGAATCAAAAGAGAAACTAGCAGGAAGGCAGGGGAAGCACTAACGAACCGGGCAGAAGACTGTTTCTAACACTGGGATAAAGACTGACAAAAGGAATATATAACATCTGTAGCAAGTCGAGCGGATTTATGCATGTGTCTATGAATACATCTGGAGTGGGGATAAAAAGCGTCTGCATCAGCCTCACCCATTTGGGCATGTTTCCCCCGTTTGGGTCGTGGTGGTGATACTGTAGAACCACCACGGTGGCGATGACCGACATCCCAACGATGATCATGATACTGGCAAAGTACTGACCTAAGGAGGGGAAAGGATCAGGTTTTATTTGAAGTCACACAAAAACAACAAAGTTTCGAGTTGTGGGGGAAACTGCGAGGTTGTCTTTAGTACGAAGAAAAAAGCTGCTTATACTGTAAATGTTAGCAGAAATCATCTAACTGACTGAGACGAGGGTAGTTTGTCTCGACTTTTTTTAAAACGCTGAAAGCAGCACTTTAATAATTATGACTTTTTTCTAAAGCTTTTAATCTGTAGATGTTGCATCTTCAGGCAAAGATTTGCATCTGCTTCTGTCTGCAGGGTTAGCTCTCTAAACATAATTTCCAGCAGTGGGCCGACAATAAATTCAGACTATAAAACTTTACCGTAAGCAGGTGGCTTGTATAAATTCAGTTTTTTACAGGTTGGGGGGGTGTTTGACAGCTTTACTGCTTGCATGTTTTGACTATATTTCATTTCCACACGTTGGATCCTACCATAGGATAAAGGGAGTGACATTTTGTGCAGATTATTAAAGTGGGATAAACTTGGCAAAGTGCGCTGCTGCGCTGGACAAGTGGATCAGATTGAATTAGATCCATTTTTGCATGACTTATTTTGACATTTGTGGGCTTTGGTTGATGAGTTTGACTTAATTTCGTGAGTCTTTGTGACCAAATTAATAAATAAACAGTATTTTTTTATCTAAGCAGTAATGATGCAACATATCAAATGTTGATGCCTATAAATGTTTTATTAAACATTTGATGCCATCAGCAGGAGCGAAACATTAAAACAGCGTTTACTACTGAGTTGCATCAGTTTTTCTTTTACCAACATCCACTAAGTGGTTAGGGAACGGGTGTTAAAAAAAAGGTACAAAAGTAAAGATGCTGTGATTCAGGATTTTAGTTGCTCAGAAATTTTGGGTTTTCTTTAATTTAAGGCCTTGTTAAGCCGGGTTTATTAAAAAAAAAACGAATATCCATCCTCTTCAAAAATTGCGTCCACACCACCTCGTTTAAAAAAAAAAACTCCATCCACACCTGAACGCATTGTTGAGGACATTCATAGGCATGCCAGACCTGTAGGCGGCAGGCGTTCCTCCGAATCCTATCCATTTCGTCTTCCGGCTCAACTTCAACATAGCATGAAACATTGTGCCTGCCTCGTTTGTGTGGACCGATGAGGTAGAATTGCTAAAAGACAAAAGGCGCTTGGACGATTGATAACATGAGCACAGTTCCGAGGGCATCCATGATGCAGTGCAGGGGCATTCAATTCTGATCCTGGAGGGCCGGTATCAAGCACATTTTTGTTATTCCTCTGCTCCCACGCACTAGATTCAGTGGTTGGATCACCTGTGCAGCAGCTCATCAGGCTCTGCAGAAGCCTGTTAATCACCTGCTGATTGAAATCAGGCGTGTTGAAGCAGAGTTAGAACTAAAACATGCTGGATACCGACCCTCCAGACCCGGAATTGAGTAGTCCTGTTGTAGTGTAAACACAAGTCGCCATGGGCCGTCAGCATTTTTGTCGCAGACAGTGACTTTGTGAAACCTACAACTCCAGTTACTTCTGTCCACAGCTTGAAACGGAGAAAATGCAAATTTTCACTTTGGCCGGAGTTTTTTTTAAAAGGATTTGTTTTTGATGTGTAAATCTGCGTTTTTCATGTGGATGACATCTCCCCTGTATTGCGATATTTATCGCCTCTGTCAGTGCGCCCCAGGGCGGCTGTGGCTACCTTACCATCACTAGCAGTGTGTGAAAGCGTCTTTGGGTGTCTAGAAAAGCGCTATATAAGTTCAATGCATTATTATTATTATTATCGTAGCTCATCACCATCAGTGTGTGAATGTGTGTGTGAATGGATGAATGATGTAGTGTAAAGCGCTTTGGAGTCCTTACTCTGAGAGGCGCTATACAAGTGCGGGTCATTTATCATATTGGCTCACTTGCTTCACTATGACGACTCTGGGACTATTTTGAGAGAAAATTTGTTCTTTTGAAGATGCTCATAATTGAGGATAATCAGAAATGTTTAATATTTTGAATACTGTTAACAATTCATTATTAACAGTTGCAGCTCAGTGAGGTCATGGCTTCACTCATATTTTAGATATTTGTTCATTTTCTAGGTGGTTATAGTTTTAGTAATAAGTCTGGACTGAAAGAGGATGGTGTGACATCACAACTAACCCCGCAACAAAATCTAGTTTTTGTTTTCTTTTTTTTTTTTTTAAACAAATCCAGAAACAAAACCATTTTTTTCATCTGGGAAAACCCTGATGCTGTCCAATTTTGTGCACAGCACTTAAAAATCATCCTTTGTTGCTGTGGTGAGATGTTTTAATCAGCTGTTGGTTTAATTTACTGATCAAACTCTGATTTTACGTACCTATTAGAGGGACGGAGTCAGATGTGGCGGGCATGATCTCTGCCACCAGGAGCATGAAAACGGTGAGCGACAGCAGCACGGTAATACCTGCGGCAGACAAACACAGACAGATAGCTCACATTGCTTTTAGCTACATTTTGTTAAGCAATCAATACCGTGGTTTAGCCTCTTCCCAGAGAGAAGCTCCACTGGGGTGTTTGGTGTTTTGATAAATGATCTGGGCTCATGATTAGATCAGGTTCGATTTATGGAAAGGACCAGCTAATGCCCAAACACACTAGATGGTCTGCTAAAAAGCAGCACTTCTACACAACAAACAGCGTCTTTTTAGACCGTTCAGACTTTGCTAGGAAACACATCTCATACACTCACGTCCGCTACAGATTTTAACGAGTGCTTTGCTGGCATAACTGTCTCCAGTCAGAGCATTCAATTAAACCTCTGAGCTGAGAGATAAATTATGAACGCCCTGATGATGTTAGGTAAAATCATTCTTTGCACTCTCTTGTAAAAGCGTGCTTCTGTAACCCCAAGAAGCACAGCCTCTTTGTCCCGGTGTCTCCTTCATCAACTGGAAATGACAGCGAGGTATTTTCCTAGAAGACAGTGTCTAAGCTCTCCCTCGTATAATCAATGCACCAGCCTTAATTACATCAATAGGTTAATTGGCCACATGTGTAGGGCTTGAATTTTTTTAATGTTCTTTGGAGAAATGCTGCTAAACACACACGGTGCTGAAGCTGAGGACGTGCTTTGAGAGTGAGTGCTGTTGTGGCTTCCATCCCACTCAGACATCATTTAAAAACTAGATCATAATCATTTATCCAAATTATAGCATGTATTTAGCTAGTAGATGATGTACTAATAGCTCTTTTAACTTGATTTTCTGAATCTTTCAGTTAAAAATTCAGGGTGGACATTCTCCAGTTAGCTTTGTGGGTCTGCTTAACGTTCTGAAACTCAAACTGCTCACTCAAGTTCATCACTTCTCTCTTTCACTTTGATCCTTTCTCTCTCGTCCTTTTTTATTTTAAATTCATCACTCGTCTTTTTGCCATCTTCCCACACCCACTGCTCTCTTTTCCCTCCCAAGTTATCCGGTAATCCTGCTCCTCCCACACCTCCCCCTACCATTTGGCCTCATTTGTGTCTCCTGATAATCTCCTGTGTACTCCTGTACTTTTGTTCTGCAGTCGTTCACTTTTAGCCCGTCTCTACACCCGGAATGGAAAATCAAGTCCTGCTGATGTCTATCACTTGAACTCGAAATTACACAATTGCAAGGAGAGGAGAGCACATCTCAGCTAATAGAAGCTAACCTTAGCATTAGCGACTCCACCACATGGGGGAACACGTTGGAGCTTGTGTTGTTTGTGTAGATAACAGATCAGTGTTGCATTTTTTTATACCTAAAAAAGAAGGGTGAACATAAGCAGTGGACAAATCGCTTTGCTGTTAGCCTATGTTGCCCCCCCCCCCCCCCCCAGCTGCTGATTGGCTAGTGGGCGGAGTCCCTGGTTGCTCTAGCTTCCTACAGCCATTTCCTGATTCAGAGTCTGACAAAAAGCCATATAACTGAATATAATATTCAACATCACTGCCATTTTTGTGCTAAATTGTGTTTTTGTGTAGCAAACAGATCGTCTCATGCTATTTTTGTCTCAAAAAAATCACACACACACACACACACACACACACAAGTGCTGCATCCCCTTCAACCCATGAGCTATGAGGGGCACACCCACTTTTTGTCCCAAAGCTGGCAGGGAGAACCAACCACTCCGACGTGAGCCGTGTTAAACCACGCTGTACCGAGCTGCTTTAGGCTGAGTAGTGCTGTTGGACAAACGGCTTTACTGAAATAACGACTGTATGCTCTCATTAAAATAAATTTGAAAACAATAAATAAACAATGTGTACACTTATAAAGGCATTGTGAAGTTTTGGTTATTAAATCTGTCCAGTCATCTGATTGAATATAATAAGCTAATATTAGCATCGGCTACATGCTAATGGTAATAGCAATTTTATCTATTTTCTAGCTGCAAACTTAACAGGTGGAAGTTGAAAATGGATGTTGGACTGGAAGATTCTTTTTGGGGACTTGGACTCAGACTTGGCCAGTGCAGTGACTTTACCTGGGCTCATTTTGGACTAATCCTCTGTGACTTAGACTTGGACTCAAACATCAAATACTCAAATGTGAACACACACACACACACACACACACACACACACACACACACACACACACACACGCACGCACGCACGCACGCACGCACGCACGCACGCACACACACACACACACACACAGCACTGAAATTTCAGATTTATTTAACCTATTTGAGGCTTTTTTTCTGACTTGTTTTTGTTCCTTTGCCAAAACTAAAGACACGTTTTCTGTCTTGTCAGCACCTTTGTCTTTCTGGCCTGAGAACTTTAATTTGTATTAAAATTTCAATTTCTAAAAAACAAGTTTCTTCTCTAAATTTAGACTAATTTCTGAATGCATTACCCCACCAAAATCTAGCTGTTATATTTCTCAGTTAACCAAAAACATAGATAAACCACTCAAAATAAAATCTTGTCTTTTGTCATTAATTATCTTTAAACCAGACAATAAAAATATGTTAATTGCTCTGATTACATTAAAAACTTGCAACAGGACTTCTCAAATCTAGAAACGTATCTAAATATTGAACATAGAGGACATTTCTGCTCTTATCAGTGGAAATCAGACATCAGCAAAACCTGCAAAAAATACTTCTATGCATGAAAACGGAATCAGAAAATAAAGTCACAATTTGCAGTCATTTGCATCTATCCTCCTACCTAACAAACAATGAACATAAATAGAGTTAGTGGAAGGACATCACCAAGGAAACCACTTTTCTGCAGAAGAACATCTCCCGTCGTGTTTCTAGACTTCTGATGGCCAGCGGTGTGATGTCTGAAGCCCCGTGTTGGGCTTAAATGAGTTAGTTTGTTATTGTTTCACCCTTTAAGCGAAAAAAGTTAAACCTTGATTGTAAAATCTTTCTTCAGAAGGTCATCTGTAACTTGCATCTTTAAGAAACAAGAGGAGAGATACCTAATGTATGACAGGTTTTCAGCTCTTTTGGGAAAAATCTTGTTGAAATGTTTTTACGGGTCAAATAGTTTTTGTGACAGGCTGCAGGTAACTAAGTGTCTAAAGATCCATTTTTAAACTGGTTCTTTGTTAAGCTGCGCCAACACAACACAGATTTCTGTTTCTTTTATGCCCAAATAACTCATAGAGCTGAGCTCAGCCTGGATACCTCAGAAAATGTCAGAGAAGAAAAAACTAAATCAGCCAAGAGAAATTCAAAACCTTCAGCACTTTAAAAGATTACAATGCTGTCTGGTTCCTTCGAAATATAAAAGGAATGAGGAATGACTCAATATCTGCAGGAAACCAAGAGGACGCAATGACTTGTTTTATTCCTGCTCTACTTATGTTTATGTTTATTTATTTAGCAGACACTTTTATCCAAAGCGACTTACAATTTTATAACCTATAGGGCATGTTGCGATCTGTGGGGGAAACCGGAGTACCCGGAGGAAACCCACGCATGCATGGGGAGAACACGCAACTCCACGCAGAAAGCCCGCAGCTGAGTTTCGAACCTGCAACCTTCGTGCTGCGAGGCAACAGCGCTAACAACTGCGCCACTTGAGCCGTTCCCAAACTAGTCATTTTCTGACTCGCACAGTAAAGACTTCCAACTCCAAATATCGGTAGACACAAACAGCACAGTTGAAGTAAAACAACTTCTATCCATCAATTAGACTTGCACGATGAATCAGCAACAACATCTCAGATGATGTTAGCCATTTTTTACATGACGTATCATAAAACCGGCTCGTCTGTATTGGTGAATATCAGTTTTCTTAGGGTGTTTGTATCGGGCTAAAGTTTCATATCAGTGCATCCCTACTTGAATAATAAATAGAAATGGTATTTTTTTTTTATTTGTGGAATTTTTCCCAAGACCCCAAACTTTGAGGAGTTTCAACAACCGACTGGGAAACACTGACTTACTGATGAATTAGAAAACTTTTGTTGTGAAAGAAACAGATGAAACATCAGAAAGAGGGTGTATTTTTCAACCTCAACACTTGAGGCAGAAGAGATATAAAAATAATGACTTTTTGCATCTTAATCTAGATGACAATCAGACTAGATTATATTAGAAATGACTGGAAATTCTAGTGATTTTAAAGTTTACAGCTATTTTATTTGATCGTTTCTGAGACTCGTGTTGCTTTCGTCTGTTTATTCTTGAAAACACTAAAAAGGAGGAAATTTGTGTTTGAGGGATTAATTCTTTGTTGTAACAATGCCTCTTGGTAATAAATGTTATATCATCAGAAAGCCCGATAACTCACTTTTATAGTGAGATATCAGCCGTAAGGAATGTTCAATGAAAAATACAGCAGAATGTCTGGGTAGTGACCCCTAAAGTGCTATTATTCTATTGTTTGTTTTAACTGGTTTGGGGCTTTTAGATTCACATTTTTGAGGATGTAACCCACATATTTGACCTGTTGCCATTATCAGAACATCTGGGTAATTTTACCGGGCCTTTGCATGTCTCCATTTCACCGGCCCAGCCCAAAAAGACCAATTTCAGGGACCAAACGAGTATCTGAACTAGTGTCTGAAAAGGCCCACAAGGTGGGACTTGTGGTTAACTCATGCCGATTGTTGTAACTTATTGAGAAATGAAACTTAGCTGACGTCACCAAACAATCAGCATTTTTAAAATTGGGAGTTGCTGGTGAAGCAAAATGGAAGGAAAACCAAATAAGCAGCTTTGACACTGCTTTAAAACTCCCAACGCCGAAAAGATGGTGGAAACCCCACCAACAATGCCATATCTAACTTGAACGCATGCAATATGAAATATTCTATATGTAATATAGTATAAAGCTTTAATTTCTGTCATACAGCATGTCTTAATCCTGTACTAATTTATCTTAGGCTGCTGTTTCCGCAGAACCGTGGCTAATTATTTGCTTTTATATTTATACCCATATAATTGTAGCATCATGAATGTCCTGTTTATGACCTATAGGTCGAGCAGACATAAAGTCTCTGACAGCCTAATCTACATGAGATAGTGGCCAAGGTCTTTCATGCACTCTGCTCATCTGAACTGCTTCACTTTTGTTACCAAGCGAAGACGAAGAACTATTCTGATAAACACATAATCAACAACTTTGTTAATTACCTATAATAATGTGAGCCCAATGTTCAATCAATCTGTGAAATGACAATGTTTATTACTTGAGATTATAATCCTGTGATCAGTAGTATTTTACAAGTTATTATAATCTTGGACATTTGCACTAGACACTGAGGACACATAATGCTAAAGTCACACGACACATTTCCTTTTGGCTGATCCAATCAGAACCTTCGCATTCTGGGGCTAGGCGTGGTTATCTGTGGTGTTTGTGTAAATCCTCTTTTTGCACTTCTCTCCGTCCCCCAGATAGATTAAAGAGCAAGTCACCCCCTACCAGATTCTTACTCAACTCCCACTTCCTGTTTGAAAAATGCAACAAATGCTGTTGCCTAGCAGACCGAGAGGGCGGAGCTGCTAACAAATACACACACACTCAGGCTCACAACGACATTGTGACATCATATGGTACCAGCTAACATTCTAGGGTACCTCTTAGCCAATAGCGATGGCAGATTTAAATTCAAATGCAGTACAGATTTTTTTACCTGACAACGGCAAAACGGACAGTTTTAGGCAGAAAATTAAAATTTTAACTAAAATGCACTAAAGTGCAAAACTATTGACTACACGTGTCTGCAGCACGATTAGACACACATTTATATAGTTTATCAGGAAAAAAAAGTTGATTTGGGGGTGACTTGCTCTTTAAGTTACAGCGTACTCTGACAGGATAAAATCTTTCTGTTATTAATGTCCGTGGACGCCTTTCGGTGCTTACTGCTGAAAGTCAGGAAAGGGACGGTTTTGTAAGAGGACACAACGGATGAGAGAACCAAGCCAGCATATTTTCCCTGGCATCTTCCCTTCTCCTAGAAATTTCCCAAAACTTCTTTAGTGGAAACACAACTATTATCTGTGGGACAGCAGTAGCTCAGGAGGTAGGATGGGTTGTCTAGCAATCGGACAGATCCTGACCAGAGAATGCTGCTGTTGTGTCCTTGGGCAAGACACTTAACCCACCTTGCCTGCTGGTGGTGGTCGCGGGGACCGGTGGCGCCAATGTTCGGCAGGCCTTGCCTCTGTTAGTGCGCCCCAGGGCAGCTGTGGCTACATCGTAGCTCGTCATCACCAGCATGTGTGAATGGGTGACTGACTATGTTACGAAGCGCCTTGGGGGGTTGTAGAGCCCTAAGAAGGCGCTATATACATACAAATACAGGCCATTTACCATCTGTGCTGCTCTTTCTGTGGATTTGTGGTACTTGTACCGTTTAGTAAATTGTAAATTTAAGTAAATTTGATACTTTTCGTGTAAGGTTTAGAAACCACGGTTTTACATAAACAGTCCACCTGTTCTCATCCACTCACCCAGTGAGATTTTCTCCCCGGAGTCGGCTGGCAGCACAAAGATTAGCAGAGTCATAGACGAAAGCAGGACACATGGGATGAGCAGGTTCAGAGCGTAGTAGAGAGTCCGCCGCCGTATCGTTATAACAAAAGTCACATCTGGGTACGGCTCCTTACAACAATCATAGAAGACCTCATTTCTGGTGCCAGGGACACCTACAGGAACACAAAGAGACGGACTCTTATCTCTCTACAGGCAGATGCTTTCAGTGACGATGCAGTGCCACGCTAACCAATTAAGTCCCATTCTCCGTTGGGCATGTAGCCTGAAATGTCAGCGTCGGTCATCTGGAGGTCCAGCAGCCAGCCGTCGTAGGTCCAGGAGCCGAATTTTAGCTCACATTTCTGAATGTCAAAAGGAAACCAGCGAACATCCACGTTGCATGTGCTCATAAAGATTCCTGAGAGGGAAAAGAAAGACGTGGAGTTACAACCTGACAATCAATTGACGAGATGACTGTATTGACCCCTGCAGCTTCCTGCGGAGACCGAAAACAGATGTAGTGAAGGACTGTGTGGAGTCTGTCTTGAATATCAAATAGCTCATTAGAGCTTTCATTCACATTGACTTTTTTTTTTTTACACCACAATTATGTGAGAACGGTGCAACACAACTAATGACGCCCACTGTGGAGGGTTTATTTTAACAATGCCTCGGCCCACAGAGTTTACTGTGTTAAAATTCTGTCTCGAAGATGAAAGCAGAGACTAGATAATAAACAACCTCCACTCACAGGCATGTCTATTAAAAGAGAACTGGCAGCAGTGTTGTTGCACGTCGCTGCTTCTCAGTTCTCCTTTCCCCTCAGCCTGCACACAGCTGTTCACTAAGCATCAGCCTCAGCAGAAGCAAACATCCACAGCATCACTGGGCCAGAAGAAAACACACATTTGCCACTTTTATCATGCTAAATAAATGTGCTCACACACGTGCATCAGCATGGCACACTTTCCAGGATGTAATCCAACCCCCCCCCCCCCCCCCCCCCTTATGAAGAATCCCGGTGATTCATGCAGAGGTTGCTGGCAAACTGCATTCCTTAATGTACTTAAAGGAATAAACTAATCAAGCCTGTTAAGACATTCAGTCACACACTCACACACACACACACACAAAAGCAAAATGTCAATGAAGCCTTGCAGCTCTCAGAGACGTTCATTACAAGTCTGTCGACATGCAAATCAGCCCTCGGAGTTAAATGGAAGCTGAGTTTGGCAAACGCAGGAAGTTAGGCTTGAGAACAGAGGTTAATCTAAAACTATGGCTGTACATTTATTTCCATGTACAGGTGCTGGCCAGTAAATTAGAATATCATCAAAAGGTTGAAAATATTTCAGTAATTCCATTCAAAACGTGAAACTTGTACATTATATTCATGCAATGCACACAGACCAATGTATTTCCAATGTTCATTACATTTAAATTTGATATTCATAAGTGACAACTAATGAAAACTCCAAATTTGGTATCTCAAAAAATTAGAATATTCTGAAAAGGCTGAATATAGAAGACACCTGCTGCCACTCTAATCAGCTGATTTACTCAAAACACCTGCAAAGGCCTTTAAAAGGTCCCTCAGTCTTGTTTTGAAGGCACCACAATCATGGGGAAGACTTCTGACTTAACAGCTGTCCAAAAGACAATCATTGACACCTTGCACAAGGAGGGCAAGACACAAAAGGTGATTGCTAAAGAAGCTGGCTGTTCGCAGAGCTCTGTGTCCAAGCACATTAACAGACAGGCGAAGGGACGGAAAAAATGTGGTAGAAAAAAGTGTACAAGCTCTAGGGATAACCGCACCCTGCAGAGAATTGTGACGACAAACCCATTCAAAAATGTGGGGGAGATCCACAAAGAGTGGACTGCAGCTGGAGTCAGCGCTTCAAGAACCACCACGAGGAGACTCATGAAAGACATGGGATTCAGGTGTCGCATTCCGTGTGTCAAGCCACTCTTGAACATGAAACAGCGCAAGAAGCGTCTCGCCTGGGCCAAGGACAAAAAGGACTGGACTGATGCTGAGTGGTCCAAAGTTATGTTTTCTGATGAAAGCAAGTTCTGCATTTCCTTTGGAAATCAAGGACCCAGAGTCTGGAGGAAGAGCGGAGAAGCACAGAATCCACGTTGCATGAGGTCCAGTGTAAAGTTTCCACCGTCAGTGATGGTGTGGGGTGCCATGTCATCTGCCGGTGTTGGCCCACTCTGTTTCCTGAGGTCCAGGGTCAATGCAGCCGTCTACCAGGAAGTTTTAGAGCACTTCATGCTTCCTGCTGCTGACCAACTTTATGGGGATGCAGACTTCACCTTTCAACAGGACTTGGCACCTGCACACAGTGCCAAAACCACCAGCACCTGGTTCAAGGACCATGGTATCCCTGTCCTTGATTGGCCAGCAAACTCGCCTGACCTTAACCCCATAGAAAATCTATGGGGTATTGTGAAGCGGAGGATGCAATACGCTAGACCCAACAATGCAGAGGAGCTGAAGACGACTATCAGAGCAACCTGGGCTCTCATAACACCTGAGCAGTGCCACAGACTGATCGAGTCCATGCCACGCCGCATTACTGCAGTTATTGAGGCAAAAGGAGCCCCGACTAAGTATTGAGTGCTATACATGCACATTCTTTTCATGTTCATTCTTTTCAGTTGGCCAACATTAGAGAAACAAACATTTTTTCATTGGCCTTTAGAATATTCTAATTTTCTGAGATACCATATTTGATGTTTTCATTGGTTGTCACCTATAAATATCAAAATTAAACGTAATAAACATCGGAAATACATTGGTCTGTGTGCATTGCATGAATATAATGTACAAGTTTCACGTTTTGAATGGAATTACTGAAATATTTTCAACCTTTTGATGATATTCTAATTTACTGGCCAGCACCTGTACTTCTTTAGAAATCAGTCATAAACACTGAGTTTGTGCATTTTCCTCATCTTGGTAAAACTATTTATATACACAGAAATAGAAATTGGTGTTTGCCTTTGCTTTCCATCTCAGCCAACCTGCCTCTCAATGGTTCCCAGTAACACTTGAGCAATTAAGGCATCAACTTTTTTCTTCAGTTGCTAGGAGCAACCTCAGTGTCGGAGCACACACACGGCTCCTAAAATCAAACAAAACTCACTTCCCAAGAAGCATTACAAACCCCGAGACAAGATTAGCTAGATGTAAATGTCACCAAATCAGATAAGAGCTCTAATCGGTTGCACCTTTTCTTCTGAAACACCAATAATCCCCCCCAAAAAACCACAAAATTACACATTTAATTACTTCATGTGGATTTTTGATTTACTGGCAAGGATATTTCTTATGGGTATAGGGTTAGGGTTGGCTCTACTTCTTCACTGGAGAGACCGCTTTTGTTCAGGAAGACCAACAGCCAGGGAAGATGTTGGAGCGCCCGTTTTAAAAGTTAGTTTCACTAAGATGAAATACTTTCAGCGGTTACTTGAAACGCACTCAGTCGATCTTTTCAAATCAATGCAAAAACACAGTTTAAATTATCATTGATGAACATTGTTGGTGTTTATTAATCCCAGTGGTGTGTCCAGATCTTTTAAAATGGGGTGGCCAAGGTGAGGCACAACTTTGTGCATGGGTGGCACCAATGGTTATGCTTGTTTTGTTTTACCCCCAAGCCTTTTGTGGACAATGAAAAGCCGATTTAAAGGTAAATTAGTGTGGTGGCACCTGGGGTGGCCAATCAGATTCCAGGGGTGGCATGTGCTACCCCAGGCCACTCCCTGGACAGGCCCCTGATTAATCCTTCACACATATAACTCCTGTTCTCGTGGTGTGTATAAATAACCGTCAGAGATTAGTAAAGAGCGTTCACAAACACTGACTGGTGTTTAGAAACGGGGTTTAGAAACTAGAATGGTGATATCAAGATGTCTTTTAGGCAAGAATTAGAAAACCTCTGAGGAACAGAAAGATCAAATCGGTGTTTTAAGTAGGGTTGTCCGATATTATCGGCCACTATTGAAATTATTATTGGAATCACTTTTTACTGTTTTAATGACACCACCTTTACATACATGCACATGTGATGAAACGGCTAATTCTCTCACTCAAAATGCCAAAATGTGACGAATCCAGTAAGATAATTTTGTTTGTTTTGCACATCTGGCCTAACTTAAATTTTAGTAGTTGTCATATGTTGCACAGATAATGTTTAAAGTAGCACTCCAAAAACTGATTTCTAAGAAAGTAAATATACACACACATATATATATATATATATATATATATATATATATATATATATATATATATAGATAGTAAATCCTCTAATACAGGCCGGTATTCAATTAAAGGCTGGGTCTCCAATTTTGGCCGGTGTCGGAGTCAATGGAGGATAATGGCCGGTCTCTTATTGTGGCCGGATGGAATGTGGTAACAAGCAAGTACGAGAGTCCCAGCGGCAGGGTTATAGTCCCCAAATCAACCAGCAGGAGGCAGTAGGGGTTCACGCAGACCTTTATTAGGCTTTTTCTTCAATGCTTTGTAACGCTACAGACACGATCCTCTATCATGCTCCTACCACACAGAGTCACGGTGTCAGTTAACCATGCTAATTCAACCCGCTCCACAGAACACACATCACCTTCCCTGTGGCTTACATAACACTCACACAACACGCAAATCAGCACATAGGAACTAGCAGAACGATAGGAAACACATATAACACAATACCCAGAATGCACCTGGCTTACAACCCCAGCCAGGTCATTACACTATCAAGTTCAAAGAGAACGTGCTGATTATGCTGCAGAACACTCTGGAGAGCAGCAGTAGGGGGTGTATGAACTACAGTAATCCCTCGTTTATCGCGGTAGATGCGTTCCAGACCTGGCCGTGATAGGTGAAAATCCGCGAAGTAGGGACTCCCAGCATGCCCCTCGCGGGGATTCCCTCCACGTCGCACCTACGTCACAAACCGCGGCTATAAACGGAAGTCGCCTTTCCAGCTCAGTCATCATTTCTTCAGATTCATGATCAGAGTTTCCAACCTACCGATCAATCCAACGAACTATCAGCTCATAGTAAGTTATCTTACTTACTTCTGGAAAGCCCGGCATTTCCGTGTCACTTCGTTGACGCTCGAACGCTCGGGGGTTTCCTAGAGCAGCCGGCGTTTCACCGACGCTATCACTTCCGTGTCTGTGAAACCACGCTCCCTATTGAATTATCGTATGATCACATTCTCTGTGATCAGCAACGCGCTGTGCCGGACCGTAGGTACTGACACGCGATCGTTCATGTCGGTTCATTTCCTTTAATGTTTTCTGTCTTTTATTTGCACCTGAAGTGTATCGCTGCTGTGGAGCGGGGCGCATCAACTTGTCCTCCGACGCACAGATCACTGATGCGGCCGGCAAGCAGGGAGCGCTCAGCTGTTTTCGCGGTCGGTAGATCTGCCTCCTGAGCACGGCCACAGTAACAATCAGGTGTCGCCACCTCAAAAACTAATTTAACACGCGATCGTTCATGTCAGTTCATTTCCTTGAATGTTTTCTGTCTTTTATTCGCGCCTGATGCGTTTCGCTGCATGCTGTGGAGCGGGGCGCTGCGGGCATCACCTTGTCCTCCGACGCACTGTTCACTGGTACGGCCGCCAAACAGCAAGCGCTCCGCTGTTTTTGCGGTCGGTAGATCTTTTAGAACTGCAGTTCAAAGGTAACTCATGAGGTGAATATATATGAACCCAGGCAGCAGTTTTTCTTTAGGATTGAGAGGAGATGCAGGAAGATAATAAACAGACAGGACAGAAAAATAGTCAAATAAAAACAAGTTAGTTTTTCTGCTGTTGCAACAAACAGACACAATTGAAGGTCATCAGAAGTGAGGAACAGAAAATGAAATAATTATTTTAATGTTTAGAGCAGCAGGAACTCCGAGAGGCTGCAGGCGCATCAGTGAGTTTGCGGCGCTGCGCAGGGGGAGGGGGGGGGGGGGGGGGGGGGCTGAAGCAGGAACTACCGTTGTTAAAAGAAATGTGTTTAACTTTGAAAATGTGGGCGCACTTTTAATTGTCAAAAACTCCAGCGAACCATTAGTTCATTTTGCTCAAATAGAAATAGAGGCCTGCCTCTAATACTGGCCCTCCTTCCAATAAAGGCCTGGAGCTTGATGAGCTTGAGTCAAATACAGGCCCGGGCCTGTATTAGAGGATTTACGGTATATATATATATATATATATATATATATATATATATATATATATATATATATATATACACACACATTTTATTACATTTTTAGTCTGAGAGGTTAAGGTTGTTTAAAACTAGCTAATAAATCAAATTTGTATTCTTTTGCTAGTTTAAAGAATACTGGCCAAGCATGCTATGAAAACTAACCCTATTTTAAGTTATGCAATTTTTCTAGAGAAGAATTATTTTTCATTTTAGACTAAAAATAGTATAAAATGTCTAAAAATTAGAAATTAGTTTTTGCAGTGTAAAGTCTACATGTTGGGAGATATGTGATGCTAGTTACCTGAAATGATTTGTCATATTGGTTTGTTGGTTTAAAAAAACCGATATCGAACATCCCTAGTTGTAGGTGACATGATGAGGAAACTGAAAGTTGCTCTCTGGTTGTTGGTTTTTCTGGTCTGTCACTATCTCTTTGGTGGAAAAAAGCCTAAATCTGCACACAGACTTCAGATTGTTCATTCTGCTCCCTCATTTCGTCCCATTTTTCTCCTTTCAAAGTTTCTCAACATGAGCCGACCCTCTCTGCTTCATTCATTGAACCCCAACTCTTCCTTTGATCTTTCCTCTAGCCAACTCTGATCTAAATCACAGCATAAAGCCGCTGTAAATACATTCAGCAGCAGTCCATCAATAAATCTGGCTCCTAAACTGAATTAATAGAGGGTCTCTTTGAGCTCAGTCCATGCTTCTTCTTTTTTTTTACCGTAGTGGGTAATTTCAGCTCTGACTCCCTCAGCTGCACAAGGGATTCTCGCCGAAGCTACTTTAATCTGAAAGAGCCTGAGAAAATACGAAGCAAAGACCCGTGAAAACCCGAGGGAGTCATTGCCTTCACAGACTTGCAAGGGTCTCGCGTTTAGGTTAAGACAGGAGGCGGAGGAGGCGAGCGCCTCCTATTTATAGATGTTAGAGCACTGTAACCAGTTCCTAATCCGTATTGCTGTTTTATCCCGATGAAATATTAATACCAAGAGTATAAACGAGGAGACATGCAGGGACGGCGGAGTGAGATGCTGCAGCAGCACTTCTGGGAACCGAGTGAATCCAAAAAGGAAGAAAAATACACACAGGAAGTACATTTTAAACAATATCAAAAGAGGAGACCTACCAGGTGGCAGGTACTTGGCAAAGCCGCTGGAGTTCACCAGAACATTAGTCTTAAAGGTGGAGTCAAAGTCATCATCTGCACTGAGGAGGGACAGGGGAGGAAGTGACATCACCTGACGACAAGTCTAAATGTGTGTGAAGCATGCGTTCAGGTGATTTACCTGTTGTAGAGCAGGATGTCCGGCGTCCAGATCTGATCTGTGGTGAAGCGGAGGTTTTTCACTCCAGGGTGTTCGCTCTGGTTCCACTGGAGGTAGTGGTCGAACCAACTCTTTAAACACACATAGATAAACACTGAGACCCTGCAGGTCACAGCCCAGCCACATCGTTTCAACACAAACCCCATTACATAACGCTGAGATAATATTTTCTTGGACTAAATTTAGCATTGATCATAATTGCCAAGACATCCTTTCATTAAGTTAACAGCACGCAACGGCGAAACACTTATTAACAACTGAAGTTGCATTTTATTTCTCTTTATGCTGAAACGTTTTGATTATGCGAAAGTCAGACTGCTGTGTGAAGTATTTGTCAGCACATCTCAGCGATGTAATTTGGGTTATGTTCTGGACTCTGTGGAGGCTAACCTTCTACCACCTGAAACCTATTAATGACTACAGCACACGTCTTAGGAGAGGGTCTCACTAACTTGCTTGGTTACATCCAGGAGGAGACTCCTTATGACATAAGATACTTTTTTGTTCTCTTCTAAATTTAGAGGTACTGGGTCACAGCAAGTTTCATGACCTTAATTTCCACATTACAGATTATATCAACTAGTTCATAAAGAGTAAAAAACACCCAGAAAAGATGAATTCTCACCATCTGTAACCACATGTTGGAGGTTAACACTTGGTTCTTCTCATCCTGCAATAATTTTAAAGCATCGTTAGTAAAATCAACTTTGCAATCATATTTTTCACACTTACATGGTGTATTAAAGGATTAGCATTCGTCCAACAAGTTTTAATCACATGCTGCCTTACTAAAGTTTTAATCATTTTTGAGTCAAATCCCATATTTGGCAGATGCCTTTGCCCAAAACGACTATTGAGGCTAACTATAAAGGGTCAGGCAGTGTGAGATGGTCAAATAACAGCTCTTCACTGTCTCAGAAGGGAGTCTAAATCTCCTCCCTTTCCGGTCGGCTCATGGGTCCCCAGAAGAAGGAAAAAATGAATGCAAGCCAACGGGGCTAAAAACGCTATTTTCTAATCCACTTTGCCTTACGCCCTAGATCGCACATATGTTGTACTGCAATTGAAATAAAAAGTAATGATGGGTGTTTCGACCATGCCAGTCAAGTACTTTGAGATTTATTAGCTTGTAAAAGTTCGTAATTAGCATGACTACAAACTAGAAATCGACACGTCGCATATGTGATATCACAACATAATCTCCTCTCCCCAAAGTAGCTGCTACTTACCAAATGACCAGATTTATGGTGGTTCTTTCCTCCTGTGGGAAGTTTGTTGAACTTACAGCAATTTTCCCTCTGTTTTCTCTGTGTCTGGTTCGATGACGTCACTTTCATGAAGTGCATTTTTAGTCCTGGACTTATTTTCACAGAAAACCTAAAATAGCATTTCCCTATTTTCGAAAATAAGCGCATTCTTGGTATCAAAATGTGTCTTTAAAATTCACAGACGTCATGTGTGAAATCCATTACACAAAACAAGCGGAATTTGAAAATTGCGTTTTTTGCCCCGCTGACTTGCGTTAATTTTTGCGTTCTTCCGGGGACCCGTGGTCCAGAAGTAGATGGACGTGACTTAGGCTCCCTATACGATTGCGGTTCTGATGTCAAAGTTTTTCAGCCCTCTGGAGCCCCCTTGTGGCATGTGGGCACCAAGCAATTACTTGCCTTGCCTGTTGGCACACGGCACCCCTTAAGTCTATCTCCTGTTGTTTTACTGTTTTGTCATTCAGTTATGTATCCATCATGAGGATGTGGCGGGTGGAAGCAGCGATGGCTGGGTGCACGTACCACATCCATGATCTGTATCAAACTGAGGGTAAAGAAGACGGTAAGAGGGTGAGAGTCGTTGCCAACAGGCCGCTCCATCCGGTTGTAGTCCTTCAGAAGGTTCTTCAGCAGTGTCCTCTGGTGAGGCCCCTGCAACGACACTGAAGAAGCAGAAAAGAATTACGTTTAAATCTGCTACAATAATTTTAGCTGAACCTTTCATGGACTGTGTTTTGAAAACAACACCTTTCCAGCACCTACAGTGCAGCTCTAAACCTAATTCCAAAACCGTTTCAGTCTAGGTCGCACCCTCTAATCAATCTTATCTAATCAAAACTACCATTCTCACACAATAGGGCCTAATGACTTCAATGACTCTTCAGACAGTAGGAAGAAGGGGTATTCATAGGTAGTGTCAGCTCGTTAAACAACAACAGACAGCTACAGTTTATAAGCTCAACCCTCCCATATTCCAGTCAGAATTGATGAAGCTCCTCGGATGAGAAGCAAAACGTCTTCAAGAAACCAAAAAAAAAAAAGTCCAGTTGCCTTCATTCCAACCCCTTTGGATTATTTTGAAGAGGGAAGAAAAACTTCTCTGATGTTCAAGTGAGACTAAGGAAATTGAAAAAGTAATGAGTAGCAGGTTTAAAAGAGAAGTTGAACGTTTTTCTTCTAAAGAAAATCCTTTTAGAGGAATAGAAAAGTGTCAGGAAAAGGCAGTGAAACAGGAAATGTAATAATGAAATTAGCACAATATTTTATCACCATTAGTCACACTTGTCTCTGCTTTTAAGGTTCAAGCTATTCAGACGAGACGTGAAGGAAACGTCCTGCTCCTCAGACAGAATGAAATATTCTGCATTAATACAGATTAATACATTTTAGAGGGGAACACTAAGAGGATTTGGTAACCCAATTAGAAATAACAAGAAATCTGATCGGGACATAACCGACTCAGATTGGTGTCTAACTGGGTTAGCTTAGAGGCCTGGAGGTCCACTGTAATTTTTAGAAGACAAATAAACTACAAATGATGTGAAATTAATATTTTCAGAGCTTTACATCGCATTAGAACACCCAAACAGGAGCTTTTCCTAAGATTTATGTTTTCTAATCTACTCAAGATTCACTGTAAAAACAATTTAATGAGGTATTAAAATGGCAAGTTGTGACATGTAGAATCAATTAATTACAAAATGAAAAATTTAAATGAACTGTAAAAATAGAAAAACTTCATATAAGTTAACGTAAACAAGGACTCTCATTGCATACATTCTGCTGAACTGGGCCTGAAACCTGAGTCAAAGAAATTGGGTTTCCCGCTCAAATTTAATAATAAGTTGAGCTGTTCCACAGATTAGGAACTGCCACCAAACGGGTGCTGTATATTCTGCTTTTGAGCTTGGATATAAAAATGTCACCAAAAGCAGCCTGTTCATAGACTTGGATGTCTGAGGCTGTAATAGTTAGGCGGCACCTTAAAAACGACTTAACACCCATCCATCCATCCATCCATCCATCCATTTTCATCCGCTTATCTGGAGTCGGGTCGCCGGGGCAGTAGCCTAAGGCGAGAGGCCCAGACTTCCCTCTCCCCAGCCACTTGGGCCAGCTCCTCCGGGGGAATCCCAAGGCGTTCCCTGGCCAGGTGAGAGACATAGTCCCTCCACCGTGTCCTGGGTCTACCTTTAGGTCTCCTCCCGGTTGGACGTGCCCAGAAAACCTCACCAGGGAGGCGTACAGGAGGCATCCTGACCAGATGTCCGAGCCACCTCAACTGGCTCCTCTCGATGTGGAGGAGCAGCGGGTCTCCTCCGAGCCCCTCCCGAATGACCGAGCTTCTCACCCTATCTCTAAAGGAGAGCCCAGCCACTCTTCGGAGAAAACTCATTTCGGCCGCTTGTATCCGCAATCTTGTTCTTTCGGTCACTACCCAAAGCTCATGACCATAGGTGAGGGTAGGAACGTAGATCAACCGGTAAATCGAGAGCTGCGCCTTCTGACTCAGCTCTCTTTTCGCCATGACAGACCGGTACAACGCCCGCATCACTGCAGATGCAGCACCAATCCGCCTATCGATCTCACGCTCCAGTTTTCCCTCACTCGTGAACAAGACCCCGAGATACTTAAACTCCTCCACTTGGGGCAGGACCTCATCCCTGACCCGGAGAAGGCATTCTACCCTTTTCCGAATCAAGACCATGGTCTCAGATTTAGAGGAGCTGATTCTCATCCCAGCTGCTTCACACTCGGCTGCGAACCGCTCCAGCAAAAGCTGAAGATCACGTTCTGATGAAGCCAACAGGACCACATAATCTGCAAAAAGCAGAGACCTGATCCTCATGCCACCAAAATGGATTCTCTCCACACCTTGGCTGCGCCTAGAAATCCGGTCCATAAAGGTTATGAACAGAATCGGTGACAAAGGGCAGCCTTGGTGGAGTCAAACTCTCACTGGGAACGAGCCCGACTTACTGCCGGCAATGCGGACCAAGCTCCGACACCGGTCATACAGGGACCTAACAGCCCGTATCAGAGGACCTGGTACCCCATACTCCCGGAGTACCCCTCACAGGGCCCATCGAGGGATGCGGTCAAACACCTTCTCCAAATCCACAAAACACATGTAGACTGGTTGGGCAAATTCCCACGCACCTTCCAGAATCCCCCTAAAGGTATAGAGCTGGTCCAGTGTTCCACAGCCAGGACAAAAACCACATTGCTCCTCCTGAATCTGAGGTTCAATAATCCGACGGACCCTCCTCTCCAGAACCCCTGAATAGACCTTACCAGTAAGGCTCAGGAGTGTGATCCCCCTGTAGTTGGAACACACCCTGCGGTCCCCCTTTTTAAATAAGGGGACCACCACCCCGGTCTGCCATTCCAGTGGAACTGCCTCCGATGTCCATGTGATATTGCAGAGCCGCGTCAGCCAACACAGCCCCACAACATCTAGAGCCTTAAGGAACTCCAGGCGGATCTCATCCACCCCCGGAACCTTGCCACAGAGGAGCTTTTTAACCACCTCAGTGACCTCAGCACCAGAGATTTGAGAGGCCAACCCAAAGTCCCCAGACTCTGCTTCCTCAGTGGAAGACGTGTCAGTGGGATTGAGGAGGTCTTCGAAGTATTTTGCCCACCAATCCACAACGTCCTGAGTAGAGGTCAGCAGCACACCGTCCCCACTATAGATATTGTTGGTAGCGCACTGCTTTCCCCCCCTGAGGCGCCGGATGGTGGACCAGTATCTCCTCGAAGCCGTACGGAAGTCTTGCTCCATGGTCTCACCGAACTCCTCCCATGCCCGGGTTTTTGCCTCGGCGACCACCCGAGCTGCGTTCCGCTTGGACTGTCAGTACCCGTCAGCTGCCTCTGGAGTCCCACAGGCCAAAAAGACCTGATAGGACTCTTTCTTCAGCTTGACAGCATCCCTAACTGCCGGTGTCCACCAGCGGGTTCGGGGGTTGCCACCACGACAGGCACCGACGATCCTGCAACCACAGCTCCGGTCGGCTGCCTCAACAATGGAGGCACGGAACAGGGTCCATTCAGACTCCATGTCCTCCGCCTCCCACGGAACATTTTGGAAGTTCTGTCGGAGGAGGGAATTGAAGCTTCTTCTGACAGGAGACTCTGCCAGATGTTCCCAGCAGACCCTCGCAATACGTTTGGGCCTGCCTGGTCTGACCGGCATCCTCCCCCACCATCTGAGCCAACTCATCACCAGGTAGTGGTCAGTTGACAGCTCCGCCCCCTCTTCACCCGAGTGTCCAAGACATGCGGCTGCAGGTCAGACGAAACAACAAAGTCGATCATCGAGCTGCGTCCTAAGGTATCCTGGTGCCAAGAGCACAAATGGACACCTTTATGTCTGAACATGGTGTTCATTATGGACAATCTATGACTGGCACAGAAGTCCAATAACAAAACACCACTCGAATTCAGATTGGGGGGTCTCCTCCCAACCACACCTCTCCAGGTCTCACTGTCGTTTCCCAAGTGAGCGTTAAAGTCCCCCAGCAGAACATGGGAGTCACCGGAAGGAGCGCTTTCCAGCACCCCCTCCAAGGTCTCCAAAAAGGGTGGGTAGACTCAAATGTAGTTTGGTGCTTGAGCACAGACCACAGTCAGAACCCGTCCCCCCACACATAGACGGAGGGAGGCTACCCTCTCATTCACTGGGGTAAACCAAAACGTTCAGGCACCAAGATGGGGGGCAACTAGTATGCCCACCCCTGCTCGGCACCTCTCAGTGGGAGCAGCTCTAGATTGGTAGAAAGTCCAACCCCTCTCAAGGAAACTGGTTCCAGAGTCAGAGCCATGCGTTGAGGTGAGTCCGACTATATCTAGTCGGAACCTCTCAACATCACACACCAACTCAGGCTCCTTCCCCACCAGAGAGGTGACATTCCATGTGCCAAGAGCCAGCTTCTGTAGCCGAGGATCAGACCGCCAAGGTCCCCGCCCTCGACTAGCACCCGTCACACACTGCACCCGACCCCTTTGGCCCCTCCCACGAGTGGTGAGCCCATGGGAAGGGGGACCCACGTTTCCTATTTGGGCTGTGCCCGGCCGGGCTCCATGGGTGAAAGCCCGGCCACCAGGCGCTCGCCAATGTGCCCCACCTCCAGGCCTGGCTCCAGAGAGGTGCCCCAGTGACCCACGTCGGGCGAGGGAACATGGTTTCCATATAATTCATCATAAGAGGTCTTCGGGCTGCTCTTTGTCTGATCCCTCACCTAGGACCTTGAACGACTTAACACTGATCGTGAAAAGACGATCGGCCATTGTAGGAAAGATTTTACATCCTGTGAGAGACGATAGGAGAAATAAATAAATCTAAAATAAATGCTGAGAAATTAATTTGATTTCTTCATCAAACAAATGTTCAAAGATAACCTAAGTAAACACAAAATGCTGTTTTCTGTTTCCTTCATTGATTAAGGAAAACAAACCTGTCCAAAAACACTTTAGGTGCTCTAGGTGAAAAAGTAGTTGTTAAATCATGAATAAGCTGTGATTAATAACATTATTAGGATAGCTAAGTTGAGTTTTCCCCAGCCACACACAGGCCTGATTACTGCCAGACCTGTTGAATTAAGAAATCACTTCAACAGAACCTGTCTGACAACATGAACCAGACTAAAAGATCTCAAAAAGCAACAAATCATGTCCTGTTGGTAAATGGCCTTCTAGGGTTCTACAACCCCCCATGGCACTTCTGAACACAATCACTGATGCATGCACACATTCACACACCGGTGTTGATGAGCTACATCGTAGCCACAGCTGTCCTGGGCCACTCTGATGAAGGTGAGGCTGCCAAATCCTGGCGCCACCTGTTCTTCCAACCACCACCAGCAGCCAAGTTGGGCTAAGTATCTTGCCCAAGGACACAACAGCAGCATTCTCTGCCGGGATTGATCCCACAGCCCTCCGATTACTAACCCTAATCCGCTCCGCTGCACTGCAGACTCACTGGGTTAAGACAAAAAAAGCATTCATGGGAGATTCCAGAAACCAAAACCTCTGTTGTGTTGACCAAAATGAAAAAGGCCCATCACAAGAACAAGATAAAAGTGGAACTTTAGGGAAGACGCCTGCCCCGTTACATCCAGAGTAAAACAAATCTTGCATTTCAGAAGAGGAACATTGTACCAATAGTCAAGCACGGCGGTGGTAGTGTGATGGTCTAGGGCTGCTCTGCTGCTTCTGGGCCATGAACCAGGAATTTAGCTCTCTTCTACAAGTTCTAAGGAGCAAAGCCTGACCTTTGACTTTAAACAGGAGAAGCAGGCATCGATGCTTCTCCATGCATTTGACTGAATCTGTTTATCAAGTCTGAAAGTATAAAGGTCACCTGTACTCAAGTATCAATGGCCGTCCAATGAGCCAAAGGTTGTACGACCCAAATGCATCGACTTGTTTTCATTTGAGTCAATTGAGTTTTCTCCATCTGTGATCGTGTAACTCTGAGACAGGAAACAGAGATGTTGGTTAAACTGTGCAGCAAATAAATAAATAAATAATGCACCGGCTGAAACTGTGACAGTGACGCAGGGGAAGGAATCAGCGAGCGCTCCCAACAGTTTGCTTCAAAGTGTTTCAGAATGATGGAAAAGTCCTGGATGTTTTGTTTTTTTTGGCCTCAGAAGTCAGTCTGCAGCAACGCAGTGAAAAACTTTTACTTTTCCCATCTCTGTGTCTTTTATGCTGTAGGAGTTTTGATCTACAGCATTCTCCTAAACACAAACTGAAACAGCTTTTCTCTGCTGCCTGTAGGGAAACTTCACCCACTCTCTCAGCTCCGACATCCTCGGCATCAATCCGGCTGCAGCAACACGGAGGCCAGATGGAAGAGCTGATTTATACCTGTCATCAAACTGATCTGGTTTTGCTTTTATGCAGGGGGTTCCCCTTGATGCGAGCACAGATATGGAAAAAAAAGACAATGTTAGGATGATGAAATGTTCCGACAGCTCTGATTTTTGCCTGCATGCTGTGTCTGTCATCTGATATTCTGGATGTCAATCTCCCTGTTAAAGCATGTCATGCAGTCCTGAACATATGCTGTGTGCGCAATCATCCAAGCAAACAGGTGAGCCAGATTCTGACTTTACTTCTCCTGGAGTCTTACCTCCACTTCAAATTCCGCCTCATACACGAAGCACCAAAAACACACTCCTGCTTCCTAATTCCTACTAAATACCACCGCTGCAGCCAGATTCTGAATGAAAAGAGGCAAGAGATGCAGGCGGGCTCACCGTTGATCAAAGCGGAGAATCCAGAGAGGAGCAGAGCCATGGAGTGCCACATCCTTGTAGTTAACAGCCGGGGGAGGAGAGGAAGCAGAAGAGGAGAAGCTCTCGCTGCTAGGGGAAGAAGGAAAGAAGGAGGAGACAGACTGCTTGGAAATCTTCGCTCTGCATCCAGTCGGCATCAGATGGCAGGAGTCTGAGCAAGCGTGTGCTTGCTGGAGGAGAGGAGAGGTAGAGGAGGAGGAGGAGGAGGAAGAGGAGGAGGACATGGTTGCTGTGCGCTCTGTCTCTTTGGGAGGTGGGCCTAAAATTGAAAGTAAAAAAAAAAAGGAAATGTCGGGGGGGGAGGTTTTAATAAGTCCATCACCATGAACTGACCTCACCAAAGGTAAACAAAACAGATGAGTGTGAAAAGTTTCTCAGGTATCTACAGAAAGGAGGAAGAGAAACGGGGATTACGGGAGCAGGAAGCGTGTCTCCCTCATGGATTATTCCCTAAATCCCTGTTAATAATATTCAGCTCCTTTCTAGTTGTGCTGCAGGACTTGTGTCGGACTGCTCCGCGTCTGCAACGATGGTCATGCACTACTGAGCTGTGTGTTTTCTGTGTGATGAGCCACCTCCACCCACGTGGAGGCGGTGGGGAGAGCTTTGAATCAGCCGTGCAGGCGGACTTCGGTTTAATTGAGAAAGTGCTGGGCTCTGCAGGAGGACAACGGGAATGTGCATAGTTAAACTCTACTTCTCATTTGTCCTCGTGAAATGCTGATGCAAGGGCAGAGGCAGCGAGAAGCTGAATGAGAAAGAAAGGGGGAGGGGGGGGGGGGGGGTAAGAAAAGGAGGAAGAAAGACTTGGACTGTATAATAGATTACCCTATTACTTCTACTGCCCTTCAGAGTTACCCCCCTCTACACCTTCCTCTCTCTCTGGAAGCCTGTCACACATCCGGAGCCACACACTCATGCTCGGCTGCACACACAGGATGGAGAATGGCCCTCAGAGGTGAGAAGAAAGATGACAGAGTCACGAGCAAACTGCACAAACAGAAGACAAAAAAAAATCATCCTGTTGCTGCAGCGTTCCTCTTCGCATTTCTGCACAACTCATTCTGGTTTATGTGTTGTCGCGCACCCGGCAACCAGCGTGAGCCAAAAAACCAAAATTCATTAGGCCTCATGAAAACACAGATTGGAGGCACTGAGGCATGGGTGACATCTGGTGGTTTGTTTTTCCAAGTGCATGCCAACCCTGGCAAAAGTGCATCCTGGGAGTAGGGAGCTGGTGGTCTTAATTAACAAGGAAGGAAGTGAGCTAAACGGTGCAAAACCAAGACGAGATGCCAATTACGCAGCCTGAGGAGGAACTGAATGAAATCCACATTAATGATGACGGTTGGAGGAGTAGCAACACTGATGGTGACTCCTTCCCCATGACATGACTGCTGCTCATGCCCCACTGAATGGCAGCCATCAGCCATGGCGGCTGCTGGGCTGTGACTTTTTAATGACTCCGCTGATTGGATTAGGCAGACATGTCCCCTCCTCTTAACAGGATGATATTGTCAGGTGGGCATCTTTTTTTCCAGAGTGGAGTTAAGTAGATTAAATTCTTTTCAGATAGACTTCAGGTACGTCCTGTCGCAGTAAGTCCAGCCAGAGGACAAAGTGGACTGTGATCCAATAATTCGTGACATCAAAGAGGAGTTGGTTCAGCAAAGTGTTCCTATGAGACTGAACTGCTTCGAAGCACTGAAATCACTGTCTTTGACAAATCCTGGAGCCAACTTTATTGAAAATCCAGCTGATGTAACTCTGAAACGCTTATCCATCAGGATGCCCTCCTCTGCTTTGAAACACAACTTAAATCAGAGTATTAATAACCTGTGAGTGATTAATTTAACCCTCCCACTGTCTTCATAGGTGACCCCGCCAGGAAAGTTGACCATTGAGCAGGATTGATGGTTTATCCCTTGAGGTCCACGTGGCAGGGGTGAGGAGTGAGCACTACCTCACTCCTGCCACATGGACCTCAATAGATAAACCATCAATCCTGCTCAATGGTCAACTTTCCTGGCGGGGTCACCTATGAAGACAGTGGGAGGGTTAAAGATTATAACTGTTGTCACACAGGAATAACAGAGCTGGAATAAATGTGTGTTTTGTCATGGCTCGGGGTAAGTGCCTAACCCAAGACATGCAGAATCATCACACAAGTCCAAAATAGTAAAGTAAAATGTCTTTATTATAAACGGTAACTAAGAACTGCAACAGGGAAGTCCTGTGCTGAGGAGCCAAGACGGCTCGAGTCTTTGAGGTGTCAGGTAGAATGCTGAGAGGAAGTGAAGCCGGGAAGGACGCTGAGCAGAGGGTGAGAGATGTCGTAGGAGTGAGGCAGCAGAGGGAAATCCGAGCAGGAACGTCGGAGGAGGACGGGACGTGTAGAATAATCCAGAAGTGAAGACAGCGAGGGTGAGATGATGATGAGGTGATCCTGAGCGAGACAAACAGGTATAAGGGAATATCCAAATCCGAAACTACGATCCAAGGTCAATAATCCAAAACACGAGTTAAACAGGTTTCAAGGTTCAAAGTCGAGTGGCTGGTGCTACCTGAACTGGTACAATCATCCGGCGAAATGAAGTGTCTCCGTCCTCCTTTTGAACCCGCGTTCCTGATTAGGGAATTGTCTGCAGCTGTAGTTCCCTCTGCTCCCCACCTGCGGAGAATGAACTCAGGTTCTGGTGAGAGGAGATGATGGAACTCACCTCTGCTCAGGGACATGACATGTTTATTTGCAAATTATGAATTATGCGGTCCTAAAGATGAAGGAAGGGACAGGAAGGTATTTGGCAGCGACCAATTGTGCAAGTTGTCCCAATGAAGAGGTCTGTAGTTTTCATCATAGATACACGTCAGCTGTGAGCAGGGGTGGACTGGCCTTTCTGGCATTCTGGCACCGTCCCGGTGGGCCGCTTAGCTGACAGTACTCCACAGTTGGTGATCTGCAGAACAGTAGCTACATGGTAACCCGAAGCTAACAGGGCTTTTCCAGGCATTTTTAGCAAGAAAAGCGTGGTAGAGCAATGATTTAGGAGTTGTTTTACCGTGTTAGCATGTAGCTAATGTCCCACTGATCTCTGCCCGTGGAGAATGAGCTGATCTGGAAGGCCAGGGCTCCCGGTCGCAGCGGTCTGGCCCTGCTTCGGGAAGAGTCCGCGGGCGGCAACACCCCCCACCCCCACCGCTCCCCCAATGGGGAGGGCCAACTGGGGGCTGACGATTTGTAAAAATGCCAGGGCCGAATTTTGGTTCCAGTCCGCCCCTGGCTGTGAGAGGATGTAAAAATAAAACTCCAGAAAATCTAATTGTTTGGTTTATGAATGTTACAATGGTGCAGAAAAGAAGTATTTGGTCAATAACAAAAGTTCACCTACTTTGTAACGTAACCTTGGGGTTGGCAGCGGTGGAAGACAAATGTTTGCACACACTGTAGCTGGTATTTTGGCCCATTCTTTCATGCTGGTCTTCTCTAGGGTGGTGATGTTTTGGGGCAACACAGATTGTCTATTCGATTGATGTCTGCAGACAGTCTTGGCCACTCCAAAACCTTTTAAAGCCTTTAACATAGACACTTGTTTGTTGCAATGTGTTTGGGATCATTGTCATGCTGGAAGATCCATCCACGTTTCATCTCCACTGATGGAAGGAGGTTCCTCGATCCTCCTCTGGATCTTCAAGATAGCCTCTTGCAAACTTCAGATGGGCCTTGACACGTGCTGGCTTGAGCAGTGGGACTTCTCGAGTGCTGCAGGATTTTAAGCCATGACAATGCGGCGTGTTACTAATAGTAACCATTTTTACTGTGGTCCTAGCTCTCTTTGGGTCATTGTGTAGTTATGGGCTGTTTCCTCAACGTTCTCAAGATCATTTATGCCCCATGAGGTGAGATCCTGCATGGAGCCCCAGGTCGAGGTTTTTTTTTTTTTAAATGGGACAACCTGCACACATGATGGTTGCCAAATACTTGTATCCAATCCCTCCAATGAGTTTAGTGCCTGCCTTGGTGTCTTCTTCCAGTGGGGCAAGCCCAGAAACCCTCCAGAGAGAAGTGACAACAGCTGGCACTTTTCTGATGACCAGCAGCTCTACTCTGATTATGCTGGTGAAGGTTCTCAGTCATCCAGATCATGGTAATCCAAAGGTTTCAAATGAAGGCAACTGGACTTCTTTGGTTTCTTGAAGACGTTTTGCCAGTGGCGGCTGGTGAAAAATATTTTTGGTGGGGCTGTGCTATTTTTTTTTTTTAAACAAACTTGTGCTTTCTGAGCTTTGTGCACAACTTCACTATTTCCTGAATTAAGCACAGCTCTTTTATTTCCTGTCTTACATCATTGGACAAACTGATTAATCCAGGTGTGTCTGACTATTGGCACGCTGCCTTGCAGACCAAGGTTGAAAAATACTGCATTCAATTGCACATAAAATAACACGACATAAATGGTAAATAGGCAATGCAAGAGGCAAGTAACAAAAACATTTTGTTTAATTTCAACATTTGAGTGAACACCAAAAATTACGAGCAGGTCACTGTTACAGTAATGGTAGTAAACACCACTTAGACAAAATGCCAGAAATTTACACTGTTAAATATTTCTGGAGTGTTGTGCCAAGGTCAACTTTATACAAAGATCAAGTGGATGCATTTGTGTGTGTGTGTGTGATACCTCATTTGTACAGAAATTTTGCCCTTCTGTCCTTTTGAGTGGTAAAGCTCTCGATGAGCTTTTTATTGAAGTCAGGAATGTTTGTGACAAGCTTGTTTTTCCATGGAGAGCATGGCAAGAGCATCCAGCCCATCCTGTGTCATGGTGTTCCTCAAGGAAAGTCTTAATCCTCTTTAAAGTAGAAAAGCACCTTTCTGATTCGGCTGTGGTCATGGGTGTGGTGACAAGAATCTTCTTTTGTATGGCTCAGGATGGTGTGAAAAACCTGTCATATGATAAATAAAAAACAACAGATAAGTACATAGGAAACACTTTCATAGGAAATAATGTCATCAGTATTCTCTTACAAATGTTATATTTCCCAGTTTTTGGGACAATAAAACATTTCTGATTCTCAATCAGATGTTTTTACATTTGAGGTAAAAACATCTAATTGAGAATCAGAAATGTTTAATTGTCCCAAAAGCTGGGAAATTTGTTTGCTGCAGCAGAAGTGTAACAAGTAAAATGGAATCAGATTGAT